TTCTTTCTGGCGTTCGTCTGCTTTAAGGCGCTGAATATACTCGTTTAACTGCTTCACTTTCTCGTCGGCCAAAGCTATATTTTCCTCGATTGATTCCCCCCATGCTGCGACATTCTCTTCGGAGTCGCCTTCGATAAATTTCTTTTCTTCGATTAGTTGTTTCAGGTCACTTATAGCCAAAATAATCTTTGTTATTTGACCCTTTTGTCGAATAGCGACTTCTTCATCGTTTGTTTTAAATATATCATCGGTTTTCTTGGTCGTAAAATTGAGTAAACGTAACTTGCCATCAATTTCGTCGAGTTGTTGTTTTAATGCCATTATATTCGGAATTCCCTTGCTCTTGCTCGAGCTAAATCTCTAGTTACAATCCCGTCGGGAGGTGCCAGGTGTCGTAAATTGCCTCCTGTTGTGTTTACGACAATTCACAGTTTTATAAACGCAGGTTTAGTTAACAATCTCTTTCCTTTTTTACTTGTTTAATATCTCGCCCTATATAACAATCTCCATTCGCACGCTCGCTCTCGTCACTAATGTTTTTACAACATGTGTTCGTTTCACCGGAAGTGTTGGCGCACGCCGCATTTCCGGCTTCTAAACTGTTAATACTGTCTATATATATATGTATATTGTCAATCTCCAACATATATATAGAGCGTCTTTCGTTACGACAGGTAAGAAGAAACAGGCGATAGAGAATTTGTTATGCAGCTGTATAACCCTGTGTTGTTTAGTGTCAGTATTGACAACCATTCAAGTACGACGAAAACCTAAAGCAATATCGCATCGACCAGACTCAGAAACACATCAAATGCATCTATTAACAATTCAGCTATATTTTTTACATACCGGGTGTCCCAAAAAAAACTATACCCTGTTTGATTTCATGTAACGTAAAAATTATAAAAGCTATTTCACTAAAATGAAAACCATTCTATTCACAAAGGATTAACTTAGATTTTGATATACAACATTCAATTTTCCGATATTGACCGAAATACAAGTATTTAAAGTTCCGAGGAGTTTTAGAAATTGGCGAAAAAACGACAAAAATCGCCGCATCAGACTAAATTGAAAGCAGTTGTCACTTTACATGGAATCTTTTTAACTTCAGTGATTTTATCGGAATGAAACAAAGTAATAATTCACGTTGATGTCCCTTGCATGGGCTAATTGTGATTCAAATTCGCAATGAAATATTGTAAACATTGTCGATTGGATTTTTTGGATCAACAAATGATTCAAAACGCTTTTGATGGCATGATTTCTAGAGCACAACGGTGCATTCAGGCTCAAAGACACTCTTTTCCTGATGAGTAAACTCAGTTAGTCAATCCTTTTGTACATATAAAATGCATTCTTTTAGCTAGAATAAAAATTATCAACACGGCAAAGTAAATTGGAATTTGATATGCTGTTTTATGCTAATTTTTGAGCTTTTCAGAAATGGTAGTTCAATTAATTTTGAAATGCCAATGGTCCAATAGCTCTGCCAAAGCGCGGAAAATTAAATGTTATATATCAAAATCTAAGTTAATCCTTTGTGAATAAAATGCTTTTTATTTTAGTGAAATAGCTTTTATAGGTTTTACGTTACATGAAATCAAACAGGGTATAGTTTTTTTTGCAGTGGCGGAAATCTTGGGGGGGGGTGGGGTGGGGGCCTAAAGAGGGCTAAAAACCGTCTTTTCGAGGTGCAAATGGGGGTATGTCGGAAATCAAAGTTTTGTCGGAAATTTAGGAGGTTTTGCCCACCCACCGGAAAAAGTGAATTTCCGCCACTGTTTTTTTGAGACACCCGGTATATTGTTGATATTTTTTTAATTATTTCGTTAAATATTATAACATATAAATATTCCGTATAATATTCAAAATATATAGACCATTCAGAGTTTGGGCCGCCTGTGGACTGATAACTAAATAAATATTAACCGCTGTCCAAACATACTGGCTCACTACCACATAATGATGCAAATGATGAATGCACCGCGTATAATGCTCGAACCACCGCGTATAGTGCATGAACCACAGCGTATAATGGTGAAAGCACCGCGTATAATGCTCGAACCACCACGTATAATGTTGAAAGCACCGCGTATAATGGTGAAAGCACTGCGTATAATGCTTGAACCACCGCGTATAATAGTGAAAGCACCGCGTATAATGCTCGAACCACCGCGTATAATGGTGAAAGTACCGCGTATAACGGTGAAACCACTGCGTATAATGCTCGAACCACCGCGTATAATGGTGAAACCACCGCGTATAATGGTGAAACCACCACGTATAATGCTCGAACCACCGCGTACAATGGTAAAAGCACCGCGTATAATGCGAAAAGCACCCAACAAAACGCCATTTGATCACTTAAGACAGCTATGGCTTTCCATAGACTTGGGTCTACCTTGGGTCATTTTTGTTTCCTATATGCTAATTATCACTTATTTACTGAGACCGAGGGAAACAGTGTGTTTTGTGGACCCGAGAGGGGCCACAAAACACACTGCTTTCCCGAGGTCTCAGTAAATAAGTGTTTTGTTATATAGTATATAAGTGTCAAAGTATGAATAATGCGCCGGTTATCGGAGTGAACTTAATTTGAAACCAAAACTGGATAAATGGAACGCCGGAAATGTTTTAATAATAAAAAGTTGAAAAAATGAACTTTGGAACTTCATTGTTGACGCGCATGCGCATTGCACCCATTTTATTGTTGAAAGCGGTCAACAATAACCCGGTTAACAACGGAAACCTGACTGGTTTCATTGTGGACCGGTTGCCTCCTCGCCAACGCACGCAGTGAACATGACGTGTACGGTTTTGACCAATCGGCAAACAGAAAAATTTAACTTTGACACTAACTATATAACAAAACACTTTGCACTATATTCGCCTCCGCTTAGGTGAATTGTTCCGAGCGCATAATGCGTCATTTCGATCGAAACTCCGAATTACTCTGTGGCAGTCTCGTCGAATCACTCGTAGCTCGTTATACCTATCTGAGCTCGTCAGCCGACTTTCTAGCGTAATTTTCACTGTGACACTAATTGCCATGTAGGGGTGTATACGAGTCAACATTGCATGCAACTTCAATATGATGTATTTTTTATCATTTTTGTTATTAAAGCAACAACGTCGACAACTGATTGGTTACGTAAAGTATATGCAAGCGGTGTTCAAATTACTTGGAGTTGATGAAGCAGTTTTATTGGACAATGTCACCCAGCTTCTCGTTTTGGAGGCATCATTTTCTAGAGTTAGTAAAGATACCGTACATACTTGTTTAAACCCTTCCTCTGATTGGGCGCCGCGCATATAAGAGTGTAGTTATTAAGAGTATATTTTCTTGTCCGCGAACCAACGGCGCGAAACGCCGTTCAAAGCGTTAGCCCTTGGGTGCTAATCCCCCACGGCTACTTACATCCGGGAAAAAGAAAGCATTAGTGAAGTCTAAAGTTAATCAATAATCGCGGGCGCATGGCTATGCATGGTTGGTCATCTCACTGATCGCAAAAACATGGCTGTTTGCCAGGAGTGAACGGGGCAAAGATTTAAAGACCATGTATAGAAAGCTTGGAAAATCGTTTTACACAATAAATTCTAAAACATTTTTTTCAAGTTTCAAAGAAACAATAAGAATTGATCCTGAAGTATAGGGTACGCTTGTTTTGACTGTTTATGTATGACTTTGTTCTTCAAGTTTTGACCAATACATGCACTACTTTTTTATTTAATATTCAATGTATTTGAAAGTTTCTCAAATCAAGTTCTTTCAATTTTATATAAAAGCTCAAAATAAAAATGAGAGCAAAATATTTTAATTAGCAACCTGCGGATGATTTAAATTTATTTCATTTCAAAGTACGAGTGGTAAGTTGAAGAGTTTATCGGCAAAAAGCTGTTAATTCAATGAACATTGTAATATTTGGAGCGCTATAACTCTAGCTGAGTCATAGCAGATATTAACCAGGGCCGCCGCTTATATATAGGGCGGTGCAACGCGCGGATGTCCCGCTGATCGATGTGTGATGCGGAAAAGGGCTGGCACCAGTGTGTTTTTCAGCAAAAGTTGACAAGGAGGGTGATTTTTTCTACTGTTGTATTTTTGTTTTCTTTTTCATTCACTACGAAATTCTTGAAGATGTTTTTGCACTGTATAACGACGAAGTAATAACTATATATATATATATATATAGTTAGCTATCGTCGTATGAATGTTTGTTTGGCATATATATATATATATATATATATATATATATATATATATATATATATATATATATATATATATATATATATATATATATATATATATATATAGTTGGACTTTAAAAGAAGTGTTGAGGATAATCAGTGACTCGTGTTTTTGATGACTTCGATGAAGGGAAATTTTCAAAACAGCATTTGAGCATGTTATCCATTCGTACGGCAAACTTCGAAATTCAGTTGATGGTAAAGATTATAATTATGTGCTTATCTCCGAATGTTTCATAAAATTCGGAATTGCAGAGCGTTGTGTTAAATTTTGCCTCGTTACACCATTTTTTTGCTGCAACAAAGGTAAACAACAATTGTATTTTGGCCATGCCATGATTTTTTGTTATAATGTTAATAATTTTATATGACTTTTAAGATTCTATTGAAATAATTCTGAGCCGTAAACATATTTTACTTCTTGGCCATTTAATCAAAATACGACTCGCTCGGACGTATGTTGAGCGCAATGCCGATAGTTGAAAAAGTTTCTTCCCAACTTTAAAATTTTGTGACCAGCTGGCCAAGACGACTTCTCGTAAGTATCTAAAATTCAATGTGAGTGGTATTCTATC